CTTTCAAAATAGTGTGCGTAGTAGCACTGTCGACCAGACATAAAATGCCCTCTTTCTCCATAAGATGCAAACTAATGAATGGTTGTGGTACACTAAAAGGAAAGTAAAACATTGTAAGCAAACGAAGCAATCATGAAGTCCCAATCAAAACATAACTTCTGAAAACATACCAATAGCAAAAACAAACCACAAATGTCTGGCGAAGCAAAAGAAATTAGAACTGTCTAATAGCAAGAAACAAACCATGAAATAAAAATATCCAGTTCTAAGATAGAATGCATATTAATCACACATCATCACCATAGTCCACGAAATAAACTTTATGATGCCCGTGAGTAGTCGCATGTGCTTCAGGCACAGCTTGAGTTCCAACCGGCCTAGCATTCTTCATCAATAATGGATTAAGTTTTTTTTTTTTTTTTTCGGCCACAAGCAAGGCAGATATCAGCTCAGAGGGAGTTGCATAGTTTTTAGCCCTATACTGCTGCTGGAGTACAAGGTTACTAGCATGAAAAATTGATAAAGTTTTTTCAAGCAACGCTGCCTCAGTAATGTTCTGCTTACAGAGTTTCAGCTGTGAAACAATATGATGTAGCGCCGAATTATACTCAGTAACAGATTTAAAATCCTGAAAACGAATATTAAGCCAGTCATATTGAGCTTGAGGGAGAATTATAGCCGTTTGTTGGTCAAAACGATCCTTCAGGGATTTCCAAAGATTGGCAGGCTCTTTTTCGGTGAGGTATTCATTTTTAAGATCTTTATTTAGATGGTGACGGAGAAAAATCAATGCTTTCGCCTTCTGGGCGAGAGTGCACTGAGATTTAGAATCAATTGTGGCACTTAAGTCAAATGAGGCCAGGTGAATCTCAACATCAAGGGCCCAAGTCAAATAATTACTCCCATCAAGGGCGAACTCAACAAAATTTCTTTTGGTGATATCAGACATCTATAATTTATTCAAAACAAGAAAATGTCTCAAATAATTCAATAACAAAGTTGATAGAATTGGATTAACATTAATACATCACTTGAGAGGGAACTAAAACCTTTAACAAACAGCTTAAATCGTACATGATGTCAGAGTGTCATGAGATTACAAAAACTTTAATTAGTCTCATTCTACGCAAGGACCCTTACCATACTTGAAAAATATATACAAAATATGCTTAACTTTAATGTATATCAGACAAAAATTATTTCCAATCACATTAGCAATTAATTCACTGGCAACTAATTCCAAACCAACCTATACGAAGTTATCATTTTATGTTTACAACAACTATTGTAATAGAATAAGCATTAACAATGTGCTTGCATCAGTAATGTGCTTGCAAAATAATTTATCCCACCAACCCTTCTTCATGTAATCATTAATGTGCTTGCATCAGTAAGGAGGAAATTAATAGAATAAGCAATTTGAGGACATTAACAATTCAGCGAAAACATCAAATTGGTAAAAACAAGAGTCAATAAGAATCGCACAAAGCCAATTCGCAAAAAACATTAGCGGCAATATAATATTCAGTACAAAGTAATTGAACAGTTCAGACAAAAAAAAAAATCAATCACAAAAAAATATGATCTCAAAGCAACTGAACAAAAAATTTGCTACTACCATGAAGTTCAATTATTAGATTTACCTTGCAGGAAAAACACGATTTTTTCCTAGGGCAAACACCAATAACGAACTAGAGCGTGCTGATAACGTGTTGTAAATTATAGTCCTCAATGTTCACCAAGCATCCATCAATCAACCAAATATGCAAAATATGCAGTAAAGAGAACAAGAAAAGAGAAGCAGAAAAGTTTATAATTTTATTCATCGGTATTCACTCTTTTATAGAGTTTACAAAGGGAGAAACCCTAAAACTTAATCCTACTAAGTAATGGACTTCAGGCCCAATTATATATTAGTAATGTCCATATTAATATATTTATAACAGGGTTGACTTAAAAAAATATGGTATGATTAGTTTACCAACGCTCGTTTAAAAAGCAGTAATACAATCTAATGATCAAATCTTCGTTGTCGGTTATCAATCAGTATAATCCGCTATCTTTTGTTCTCATCAAGTAATAGTCAAACAATGGTTGGTACTTGTATAAAAGAGTATACGTATAATTGAACCCAATAATATTTAAGATGTGCAAGTATAGTGACTTAAGAATACAAGTATTTAGATTTGTAATAACTATGATATATATATATATATATATATATATATAATTGCTGGCAGATGCATTAAATAAAACCTATTTAATTATATCTACGTGGCAATTTTACATTTTCCCTTAAAAAACCGTTACTTTTGATTTATTTAACTTATCATTTAATTATTAGATAATCAACACACTAATCACTTTACAATTACAAATATCATTTTAAACTTTTGATTACTGACAGTTGACCATATAAAGTGTTGACCGTATAATGTGATTAGATGTGACTATTGTTGTTACATGTAAATTAATTTTTTGGAAAAAAAAAAAAATATTTGAAATTCTTAAATAAATAATAAATAATTCACAAAAAAAATGCGTACCAAAATATACATTTCATCCAATCTAATAAACGCAATTTAAAAAAAAAAACAAATATACATATATATATATACAAGGAAATAAATAGCTCGCTAAAGTTGCCGCTATTTGAGAAATAACTTTTTTTGGCAGCGTGCCGCTATTTGTATTCATGTACAATTTAGCCGCTAAATCCCGCTAAATCTCCGCTATAGCTCCGCTATAGCTACAGTGCCATAAACGTTTTAGCCCGCTATTTAAAACCTTGATATATATACATATATATATATATATATATATATTTCAACTCCTTTAATGGTAAATTTAGCCTGCAAAAAAGTGAAAGAAAAATCATTAATCATTATATGCATACAAATAACTCACAATACTTTATTTACTTGTGCAAGTGCACAGGGTCGAATACTAGTGAGTATATAACTTGCTCATATAATATCTTCCCTATATATAATTCCCGAATGCGCTGAGCCTACGTGGCTGCTTCGGGTGCTTCGCAATCTTACTTGGCGAATAATCATGCTTCGTAATTAGGTTTGGACAAATAATATTGATAATAATCTAGGTTCGGACATTCCATAAATATTATTTATCTAACTTATGTATTTTAATATCACTTGTACTAATATAACCCTTTAATTATTCGTAATTTTACATAGTGAGACACTAAGTGACTAATATATCTCTGACTTTGATTTGTTTCCTTCAATTAGCTGTTGAATTGTAAATGTATATTAAAAGTTGATAAATTTTATATTTCTTATCGATTTTACATATATTATATATCAAATCAATCGTCTTTTGATGATCTTCAATTTGACATCCATATTGTATATATGAAATAAATAAATTATATTTATCTTTATAATAATAAAAAATAATAATATTTATTAAAATTCATTAAAAAAATAAAATTATTTATCAATTGATATATTTATTTTTAATGTATTTATATATTGTAAGTAAAATTATAATATAACACACGTAAGTCACACAAATAAAAAGTGTTATACTAAATATATAATAATATATATATATATAATAATATA